AAAACATTGTTAGACCAGAAATTCTACATTTCTGCCTCAAATGAGGAGAGCATTGATGCAACAGAAACTATCAGGAAATAAGTGGTGTTGCTCATTTCCTTACATGTAGATCACGTGAACTTGCAAAAGGGAGCTTGCTCTCAGGATCTGTTAGTTCTTGTGATGTTGGTGTCCATTCCACCACCAGAATTAGTGAACATGTAGTGCCAGTTCAGGATACTGCTCATAAGTCTGCCCCACATTTATTCCACATCACTATGGGCATGAACATTAAAATCTGACCTTTCAAAACAAGAGTCATTTCCCCAAAAGTTATGTAGTGCCATCCATTGAGAATGCTTTAAAAAAACAACCCCTAGCTGCAGTTAGCAGTTGCTAGATAAAAGAAAAATTGGAAATACGCACATCTTTCTCACATACAAAATGCCGTGTATTCCAAAATGGTTAAGATGATTTAGTATTAGCTAGAAAGTGGAATTTTTGTGGACTCGTAGCCTCAGGTATGTCAATGACTAAAAGGGCTTTAAGTTGAGATGTCAAAACTGATTATGAGAACTATCTCAGGAATAGAGAGCAACACTACAACATTATAGTATCAGTACACTCCATGTATGAAAAGTAAGAGAAACGTGAGCACTATTTTTCATATGAGTGGCATTTTGGGTTTTCAGGACATGTGTACTTTTGAATGCTGTGGTTCTCAAAAATATAAAATCTATTGCTCTCTACAAATGTATAGATCAGTAGTACACAGAAGATAGATCAGCATTCATTGCTAGATCTCTGCAGTCTACCCGTAAGGTGTGATTTCTAAATGCTTAACAAGAGCAACAAGAAACTTAAAGGCTGGCTGGCATGCTTACTTGCTTGCTTTCTTCTGTATGAAGCTACTGAGAGTAAAGGTTTTGTTGGGGAGGGACACAGGATTTTGTGTATGTGAAAGAACTGTGAGCTCAGTTCTGCTACTGAGAGCAATTTCTTGGGTGAGTAAATTCTTAGAAACACCTTGTTTTTTAATTCTAAGACTGTGTTGCTCACACACCCCAACCAGTAGGTCAGTGGACCCCAGGGTTCTATTAAAAAGAAGAAAAAAGAAAAACCAGATTAGATCCCACAAACCTGAACTCTGCTCAACACTGCCTTAGATTACACTGGACACAATGGAACAGAAGATAAGCTTTTTGGAGTAACATTGATTTTTAGGGGGGAAGATTTAAGCACATGCATAACTTTCCAATTGAAAGTGCTTAACTTTATTTGGATTGAACCTATATTGTTAAAGATAAAGTATTCTGTCAATATTACCTTCACACAGAACCAAAGGAAATAGTTTTCCACTGGTCCTAAATGTGCTAACTCCTTTAAAGAACTGACAGTCTTATCTGTGAATCCTCAAAAGGTTTTATCTGGAGGCAGAATAACAGGTGGAACTAGGGAAGATGCATAGATTTCCATAAACATTGAGTCTGAACATCTGCTTCACTGAAAAATTCATCTCATTTATGAAGAAATTAGGATATAAATCACTTGGTAACTGTCAGGAAAGTCCTCAAAGTATTCTGTAGGCATGTTCCAAACTGAAGTTAATGGGACTTACATCTGCAAACAGCTCTGAAAATTAAGGGGTGTGACTGCTCTGTACATTAAATACTTCCATGTTTTGTACAGTTCCAGTTACTGCTAATCATACATTTGCTGTCATTTGCTGTATTGCAATCTAAAGGGATTGCAATATATGCAGCATTAATCCCCAATATGTGTATTTGCAGCTATTTTAAGGAAATATGTTTGCAAGGTGCCATTTTCAGTCTTATGTATTAAAATGCCTTGATTTACACAATCAAGAGTGACCATGTACTCCTCCTTGTCCAGATGGCTGGAGCTTTTTCTTGGGGGGGGGGGTTCTTGCTTGTGGGGTCTTTCCTGCTTTGTTCATTTCCTTCTGAGGACAATGTGCAAGATAGATGGGATGCTTCCCATTAATGTTATCACTTGGTAGAGGAAGGCGATTCCTGTCAGTAGAATTAACAGTCTAGGAGTTTGCTGCTACAGTTGCTTTTTGGGATACATAGTTCCTGGACTCTTCAGAATGGCCGAACTTGGTGTGAGCACTGGAATCCTCTCTGTGTGGCTTGTAGGGTTCAAGGCAGCTAGTTCATCGTGCCTCTTATACACAAAACCTTTGGCGGAGGATCATTATTAGAGTCACCTTTGAAAATCCCTTTATGCTATGAATGGGGCAGCTCTGGCCCTCTAGACACTGTGGGGGTACAATGCCATTGCTGCTGGCCAGGAGTCCCACTGCCTGGGGCTCATGGGGTTACAGTCAAGTAGTACCTGCAGGACACAAAGTTGCCCACTCCTGTTCTACAGGTCGAACACTTCCTGCTTGTGCAATGCCCAATCTGTTTTTGTTTTGTTCCCCAGCCATGCTCAGCACATTTAAGGTGCACTCCTGTCACCCCAGCCTTGGCGCACAGAAGCCTCTTATCTCAGAATATTCTGTGCATCCCATGTGCTGAACAAGGCATGGTAGCAGCCATCTCCATGTTCACCACCACAACTTGTACCCTGTCACCCTGATTTTTATTTAGCCAGTCATTTTTGGCTGCCTGGTTAAAGCACCAGGAATGGGAAGCCTAAGGAGGCTGGGATACTGATGGGACTGATTCAGGTCTTCAGCCCCAGGCTCTTTCCTCCTGTCTCCCTGGAACATCTTTTTTTCTATCCTTCAGTGCATACAGTGATTTCAGGGAAAGCAGCCAACTGCAAGTGCATGCTGGGCATAGCATCAGCCTTTGGAATGCCAGCTCCTAGATCACAGGACCTCAGGGGCTGGACTTCAAGTAATCCTACATCTCCCCCTGCCCGCAGACAATTTGGGGAGATGATAAGACTGTGTCCTTAGTGTACAATTCTATGTTTGTTTAGAGGTTGAGGTATGCTGAGGGGTTGTAGGATTTTGTTCTGTCTAAACATGCACTGGCTTTTGCCCTTATAGTATGAAGACCAGTAGATGTGACCTCATCCCACAGTACAATCTGTGTTTTTTTTCTCCCCGTCCCCCTTTTTATTTTTTTCAACAGAACTTAAATACAAACAGTTGAGATACAATACATATCAAAATATATCAATAATATTAGCATCTACAACCCTTCCATCAGTACTGCTTTTACAAAATCTTCCCATATTTCATTATATTTATTTACTTTTTTATCCCCTTTTTAATTTTTATTTCTGTTGTCAATTTATCTTTAACAATCATATCCCATATTTCATTATACCATTCATTCCTTTGTATAACCCAATTCTGTTTCCAATATTTAACCATTACTAACCTGGCTGCCATTATCAGATTTAGGATCAATTCTTTCTTAACTTCATTTATATCTTGTTTTTCAATCAGCAGCAATAATGCAATTATGGGTGACATTTCTAGATTTATATCTAGAATTTCTCTAATTTCATTAAACAACATAATCCATATCTTTTGTATATTGTCACAATCCCACCACATATGTTTGTAAGTCTTATAAAACTCTTACCCAGAGAAGAGAAGGGAAGGCAAAATCTGGCTCTGGGTTTTCCAACAACAAAGAGTATGACTTTGCCTTCTTCTCTGCAACTCTGCTTTCAGAGAGGACTAGAGGTCACTGTTGCTGAGGAGGACAGGCAAGGTGGTGAGATACCGAGCCTAGTCCAGGCCTCGCCTCACCTCCTCGCGTCCTCCTTATCTGCAGTCCACTCTAGTAGGCATTGAGCCCTTTTTCCAATGTAGGCAGTTATAGCTCTGTTTTCACATGTGACATTTCAGAATCCATCCTGTGGTGTCTTGGTAACTGCTTATTGAAGACAGCCTAGTTTAAGGCATTCTGCATAACATTTGCCTTCCAGAAACAAATAGGCATGTAATTACTCTGTAATCACATAGTAATTAGTGTCTACTATGCCTATATTGCATAATTATATGCCCTGCAAATTACATGGAAATTATACTTGGATTTAGTATGCGTTTCTGCACACTGTGTTGTAGACAAAATAAACTTGGGGCTTAATATATAATTATAACTGCAGTGATGTTGAAGTTGTATAGAATGTTACAGCTATCTTTTGCCAATTACAGCTTTTTGCTATGGTTTGGAGAACTACAACCCTCAAAGTCCCATGGTGGCACTACCAGCAGCTAAGGCAAATAACACAGCCTTTTAGTGTAAGTTTATACTCATGAGGAGCCCACTGCAGCAAGCCTTGAGCTCACTCACAATTCATTCCGCATGTAGAACTCCTAGGACCAAGCCCCATTCCTTGGAGGAACCCAGGGAAGCTCTGCAGGCCAGATGCACAGCCGGAAGCACCACATTCCTTCCCTAATATGAACCAGAGAATATGTGAAATGCTGGCTGTTTTAGGGATGGGGTAGATGAATCACACGTGGGACTACACTCATGTATTATTATTGCTACTACTGTGCTTACATTGCGTTCATACCTCACCTCTTCTTCATCTTGTGAAGTACCCACGTGGTTTACATAGTTCTATTTTATCCTTTCAACAACAGCCCTGCGAGGTTGGTTGGACTGAGATTCTGTGATTGGCTCACATTTACCCAGTGAGCTGCATGGCTGAGTGGGGAATGCAACCTGGATCCCCAGTCCAGCGCTCAGACTACCCCTCCACACTATACTGGCTCTCTAATTGCAAATAAACATGGGGATTTATGCACGTTATTTGCATTGAAACACATCACAGGCCAGCATACAAGCCCAGGGCTTCACTTTGCTTCCCACTGTAAGTATATCCTAGGTGCTACATCAGTTGGTAAATTGCTCTAGGATCCTTACCTATGAACTTGCATGTTCCTGTTTTATAGTTTATGCTGTTACAATCTGTTTCTGAATCCAAAGGTTTCTTGAGTTGACAAATGTCTCTGTCCTTGGTATCTCAGGAAAATGTTGATGTAACAGGAATGACCCTGCTTCTTGTTTTCCTTTTGTATACAGCAGATCCTGCCATTTCAAAGGGGAACAACTGTCTGGATGCAGCGAAAGCCTGTAACCTAAATGATACCTGCAAGAAATTGCGATCAGCTTACATAACTCCCTGTACCAGCAGTGTGTCAAATGAAGTCTGCAATAAGCGGAAGTGTCATAAGGCCCTAAGGCAGTTTTTTGACAAAGTTCCCCCGAAGCACAGTTATGGGATGCTCTTCTGCTCCTGCCGAGACGTTGCATGTACAGAGAGGAGAAGACAGACTATTGTTCCTGTGTGTTCATATGAGGACAGGGAGAAACCAAATTGCCTGAATTTACAAGATACTTGCAAGACAAATTACATCTGCAGGTAAGATAGCACATTGCAGTGGGGTGATTAATGAGGCAGTAGGGGGAACCTTTGGAATTGTCTGAAATTGCCAAGGCTGGGAAGTAGAACTTTTGCCAGAGAACAGGAAAGGAACCTGACATTTTTTAGCAAAAAATAAAAGTAACTGGCTAAACCTACATGTTGCTGGAATAGCTAATTTCCCGGAGAACCTTGAAAAAGAACTTAGAAAAAATATGTATGTATGGAAGAACTATTTTCTCAGGGGAAAATTCTGCTGGTAATTTTCCCTGGCAGATAATTGTGAATTAACACTTAATCAGAACCATATTTTTGGCTCAATGAAAGAATAATTGGTCCTGCTGCTAGATAGTTACAATTGTGTATAGTTTTCTGAATAGCTTGCCATTGCTTGTGAGTGAGCTGAGCCACCATCTTGATTCCAGCCCAGTTGCTGAAGGCAGGGAGAGAGTTATTTATCAGGTTAAAATGAGAAAGAGATCGATTTCAAGGAAGTCATAGGAATGGCGCACTAAGCATCAATCAGGTATAGTTTAACGATCTAGAAAAACTTGCTGTTTATTGCCAATAAACTCGTGAACAATATTCAAACCCTGTCATTCATGTTTCTCTTGCATCCAAAATTCTCTTACCCCACCCCTGACCTATGCTAGACCTGTCTACACTGGCCTTAAAAGTACGCATAGTATAGTGAACCCCTCCAAAGAGCCAAGCCCTCTGGATCTGCCCCATTTATGTATGACTAACTCTAAAAGACCTTTCTAAGACAAAGAACAGCTGCATATCCTCTAGGATTACAATTGATCTGTGCTCAGTTGTTGCTTGTCTCTGATGCAAGCCCATTTACATTTATTTTGCTTATTATTTATTAGCACATGTATAGTATCATAATAATATTGCATTTATAGCCCACCTTTTTTCCTCTTAAATCAGTTCAAGGAAACTTACATGATTTTCCTCTTCTCCATTTAAGCCTCACATTAAACCCTATAATAGTAGGTTAGACTGAGTGCCGGTGACTGTCGGAAAGTCACCCAGTGAGCTTCAGGGCCAAGCGGGACTAGAACTTTGATCTCCGGAGTCCCAGTCCAACATTCTAATCACTAGGCCACACTGGCTTTCATTTCATTATATTTTGTTACAGAAGCGTATGTGTGAGGTTTGTATCCCCTGCCCCTGGGCCCTTCTGCAGTCTTCATGTTCAGGGCCCTGGCTCCCTCACAAGGATTGAATGCAATGTGCAATGGAACAGTTCAACATGCAGAGCGGAGTGTCAAATTTTGTGCCTTCTTTAGATGTTGTTGGACTGCTCCTCCCATCAGCCCTAATCAGTGTGGCCAATGGTGGGGGAAGAGGGGAGCTGAAGTTCAGCAACATTGGAAGGACCACAAGTTTTCCACCCCGATGGCTTGAGGAATTCACTCTTAATGAATTCTGGTACATACTCAACAGATCCTCACATCCTTGATTAATGTGTGGATTAGAGCATCATTCTTTGGGTTACATACTTCTCCAAATATGGCAACTTAATTCCCAGCTTTAGAACATATTAAAATTTCTAAAGTATGCATTTTGAAATAACATAGATTCAAAAATAACATTTTAATGCATATTTTCTTCTTTAAAAATGGCATGTTACTGTAAGCAGTCTGGACTTATAAATGAACACACATGAAGGTGACCTGGCACAGAGAGTAAGTCCATCCCTAAGAAAACAGTAGGCTTCCCATCCCAGTTACGCTGGGTAAAGATCAGTGATTATTAAGCCCAGGTGCCTGGAGCTGCTTATACACAGACATGCATACATGTTGCACATTTGGGCAAGTTGGGTCCTGTGCCACTAGGTGTGGAAACAAGGGGAAAGGCAAATACATGCATTCCTACTGAGCTGCACGTGGAGGGCAGATATTCAACATGAACTCTTGCTTTGTAAAATTTAAAACACAGGTGGATCTGGGAGATTATATTAACAAAAAATCAATCCAGATAAAGACTTTTAACACACCCTACCACTTTTTATAGAGAATTCTGAGTATAAGTAACCTTTTTATCTTAGAAATACAAAGACATGATCGTCAACAGATGACCTGAGAAATCTTTGCCATGTGGACCATGCTTTTGGGATGAACTCCCACAAGCCCTTGTAGTGTAGAATAGATAAAGGGAGTGATGGAACCAGCCAATGTTACAACTAGAGCTGGACTTTGGGGCCTAAATCCATAGGGACCCAGTTGACTATCCAGTGAACAGCAGGTAATGAGGGTACCGGGGTACCTGCAGCAATCTCCATTCTGGTGCTATGATTTCAGTGAATGTAAAATGCAAAATGGCATATGCAATGAGTGTTTTTTAATAGGCTTAAATAGTTGTGTTGTTGCCATTCTAATATACCAGGAATACAGAAGCAATTTTAACACACACAGTGGTGGTTAGAAGGCAGAAAAGCAATGCAATTTGCATGCTTCTCAAAGGAATAATGCGCATAACCATCTCAAAGATCCCCTCCATGACCCTTAAAGATGATGTAGCCGCAGCACTGGAACAGCACAGCACACCAAGTCGCCACAAAATGCATTTTTGCATTGTGGGCAATTTTATGCTTGCAGCACAACTTTTGTGAATGGACTCCTATGCCACCCCCACACACAACTCCTTCCAGAATCCATTCTGTTTTTAGTCATCAGCTGCAGTTAGTAATTTAGTCACTAACTGGCATCCCCTTACTTCATGAATCACTTGAAAGGTCTGCATGTATGGTTCTGCTGATTCACGCAATGCTGGAAGAAAAGGTATGCCCCCAGTTCCTATTTTATTTCTCGCTCTTTCTGCATGTTACTTCCCGAGCAGTAACATTTCTGCCAGAATATCTAGTAGAGTTCCAAGGCATCTTGTGCTTTTGAAAGACAGGAAATGAAGTAGTTAATGAAGATGGTCTTCAGTGTTGGAATCGGCAGCATGAAGTATTTCCTTTAAGTGCCATCATTACTTCTTGTGCTGTCTTCATTCATTTCAGCATCCAACTTTCTTAATGCTATTTCATTTTCTCACTTTTCACTCGTCTTCCCTGACTTTACGCCTTTCGTTCTCCATCATTGCACAACCCAGCTTCTTGGTCAGAAAATGTTATTACTATTTTTGAAAGCGACAGGAGTATGAAAATGGATTTCTTCACAGATTACCGAATGCAGTTCTTTTTCCATTCAAACTTCTTCTCAGAAGATGATACATCTGGCAGCCAGGCTGTTTGGGGAAATTGTCTGAGAGTTGGTTTACACTTGCATGTTCTGCATTTGATTGCTATGGCATTAAGTGTCAACAACTTGCATGTGTGAATGACCCATCCCAGGCCAGATACCACAGCTGGGATTTTAACATTCTCTCATGAAATTACACACATACTACTTTTCAATGAGGCAAATTCAGAAGAGAGGAATAGGTTTGACTTGTAGTCATTCAAGTGTTCCCAAACGGGGGTATATTGCTTTCTGGTTGCAGGGTTACTCATCTTTGGTGCTAACCTGGGCGTTTGCCCTCTCTCTTTAGCAGCTTGGAGCCAGTGGTATCAAACATAGGCTTCCATGCCACTGCTTCATAAATACTCCTAGCTCTCTCTTGCCACGTCTTTCTGTCACAAGCTAGTTCAGCATTCCCAGCCTGGGAATTATGGGAATTTATTTAATTGCAGTTCACCACATCTGGAGCGTACAAAGCTGAGGAAGGCTGAATCAGATAGTACTTGCATTGCACAACATGTAGGAGAAAAGTTGGAGCTGCTGGACTATGTATTATTTTTCCCCATGGACACTGAGGAGAGAGTCTTGATCTTAAACATCTGTCAGGCCTAGTTGCATAGATAGTTGTGTTGTAGCAAGAGAAAAGAGCAGCAACAATGAAGGCTATTTCTGTACTGGCATCAAGAGTGAACTTAATTGTAAGCACAGCTGCAAAAAACCACCACTAGTGCCCTTTCAGTTATGTTGGGAACCTGTAGCTAATTGTGTGTGTGGCTTCTATGAGCCAGTCCACTGGTGATTATCAAAATGAAATCAAGCTGTGCTATCACAGTGAAAAGTGAGAAAATCAGGTTGGTTCCTGAATGGATACTCTTTATTTTAGTGGAATTGCTCTGCAAATGTAGAGGATTTACTCCAGAGAAAACATCATGACTTGGCATGGAACTAAATGCCATGCTCAAAATGGAGCAAATAGGGAGCCCCAACTGTCTCCTGATTCTTTTGGTTATACTTACCTATTTGGGAATGGATATATAATCTGAGTGTCTATTACAGTTTTTGATAACTTCCAGAAATCCTGAAGGTACATGCACTTCTTAACTCTACATTTCAAGTTCCTGTTAACAAATAATTGATACTGGAGGAGATGCATAATGTAATGATCCCATGACACTGGCAAGTTTGCCCAAATGTCACAGGGAAAGATAGAAGAAGCTGGCAAAACCCTGACTTTTTTGTCATCCTAGCCAGTAGGAATGTATGTTGATGAAAGAAACCATTGGCCTTCTAAGCTGCTTCCCATATTCCTTGCAAAAATGCATTCACCCAGTTCTGCAAGGTGGAATGCTTTTCTTTAATTTACTAACAAGTAGCTGTCGCCACTCCCTCCAGGAGGCTCAAGTTTAGTCACGGGACAGTAATCTCTGGGTGGTAGAGAAAGAAAGATGCCTGTAGAGAGAACCTACCAATCAGATGGACTCAGGTGGGCTTCTGGTCAGTCATGTGAGCAGGAGCTCGCCTAATTAACTTTGTCTCATGGATAGCAACTTTGTCTCATGGTGATTTCTCATCTCTCCCTGTTAGTCTAAACTTGTGTATTTGGGTGGATGCTTAAAACATAATAGATGGGATGGGAGAGGCACTGTAGTCATATTCTGTCTTGGCCCCTTCTTTTCAGAGTGTCCTCATTCCTGATTCCTATAGTTTGTTTATTTGTTTGTTTATTGTTTGAAGGCTTTTTAATCCTGTTCTTCAACCAAAAGACCA